GAGAAACATCTCTTATTCATCATTTAGGCTTTTTAAAAGCCCATTTTCAAAATACGTTGGGGAAGGAACTCATAATACCAACTTGGGTTATCTGTTCAGGCCCAAAGCACTATTTGTGCAAACCAGATCTGTCCTGAGTGTTACACTGATTTTTCTTTAATTGATCATATGCTTTTTAACACAGCAAATGGGTCAACTCACTTATTATGTGTGTGACCTTATACAAATGACCAGATCTCTCTCAGCCTCAGTTTCCCCATCTGTAACATGAAAATATTGGGCTTCACCAGGGGAGGTAGTTTGCTCGGATGGAAATGTAAGTTGTTCCACTTATTTTGCCTCGTGAAACATTTTCAAATTATGACAAACCTCTGGGAAAAAATTGTTACTGATTATTTGTTACTGCAATTTGTTACTGCTTTCTAACCTTAACTTTCCAACACAGTCTAGTTCATTCCTCCTCTTTTATTCTGTCTTTTCCACCTCCTGGTCCAGTATGAAGAGTACCCCAAATTCTCGGGAACTGGGAAGTTGAGGCTGGTTCTTATAAACCTGGGTGGTTGTGGCTTTAGGTAGGGCGTTCCCCTTGACTAGGCATCTACACAGTAAAAAGATTCCAACATCAGGGCAGAATGCAGAAGGAGGAGGGCTTATCCTGTCAGTATTGGTGGAAAGACCACAAAGGAGCATGTGACTTTGGAATTAGTCAGACTTAGGTTTTAAGTCCTCACTGTGCTATTTACTGTGTGACTAGCAATCTTATTTGTTCCTCACCTAAAGTTGATAACTAACTTCCACCTTGCAGGATTATTGGTTTAGAATTAAATAATATAGCTAAAATATTGAGAATATAGTAGGTTCTCAATAAATGATAGTTCTAACAGACAGCTCTGATCAAGGTAGAAAATAGAAGTTCCTGCCCAGATCTCCAGGCAAAATGTAGATGATCGAAGTAGCACTGTACTTTCCAAAATATTTAGGCTAAAATATCATCCAAATGCACATTTTCAGCATTTGGATAGTAATGTAGTTAGTCACAAGGCTCACTACATTGAGAGATTGTAACCTTGTTGCTTTCAAGGCTAACTACACTATAAATAGATATAACATCCAAGCTCATCAAAAGTTTTTAAAACTTTTGAATTCTAAGAATTTAAACAAAAGTGTTATATTTGGTAAATATTTTCTTTTCAAACATTTAGATCAAAACAGCCTAACCCGATAACAAACTTCCCCACAAATGTTGAATATCTATATTAGGTCAAAACGGAAACCAGCTGTAATTTTTAATGCAGTGAGTGGAATAAAGAAATGTGCAAACCGATCCAAATGTTTATCAACTAAGGATCCCTGTGGGACTCCGTGCCCTGACTACATTTTTTTTTTTTTTTAAACATGGAGGCTCAAGCTTCGCTCGTACTTGAATTATGTTCTTTGCGTAAGCCATGCAATTTAATTTTAACCTCCAGGACTGAAAATAAAATGAGCTCAGACGGCGGAACAATGAGACTGGGAGCCAGTGAGAGCCTTAATCTAAGTGAAAGACGCTTCCTCACTGTTGCTCTGCCTCCTCCCGCCTGCTCCTGCCAGGGTTATTTGGGGTTCCAAGAGCAAAAACAGGTCAACATTGACAACACGGGAGAGGGACTTGTCTTCTACATTAATGTTTGTGCGTAAGCCCCGAGGGTGATGGTGAGGAGCATGAATTTTTAAAAATCATTATGCTAAGTGAAATAAGTCAGTCAGAAAAAAAGCTACAAAGCTTTTGTATGTGGGATATAAAACTGAAACTTATGGACACAAGCATCAGTGTGATGGTTGCCAGAGGGAAAGGGGTGGGACGGGGGTGGGGGGTGAATGGGGTCAGGAGGTGACAGGAGAAGATTTGACTTTGGGTGGTGGGCACCCGGTGCAACATGCAGATTTTATAATATAGAAACCCACACCTGAAACCTACGTGTTCATGTGGACCAGTGTCACCACACTCAGTTCAATAAACCAAGCAAAAGAAAGACAAAAATCATAAGTGAATGCATAACTTTCCTTGCCACTTGTATTCATGACAGAGCTTGCGTAACTCAGGCATGCACATGATTTTTTCTTTTTTTTTCTTTTTTTTGAGTACAAAACAGGATTTACTAGTCAGAGAATGTCTGCCTAAACAAGCTCATCCATCTGAGGGCTCTCAGCTACAGTTCACATTGGTTTAACACAGTCAGGCTTGGTAAACAGATCACATTAGCTCGTGGAGTGTTTTCAGAACACCACCAAATCACCAACACATACGTAGCTTGTGGGCGCGTGTTGGCAGGGCGTGGGCCCAGAACCCCATAAGGTTTGGGAACCACTTGTCCAGGAACCGCATGCCAGTCCCAGTAGGGGACCTGACCACACTCACCACCCTGCTCCTGTGACGGCGACATAACACTGTTCCCTCAGCCCCTGGGAGCCTGATATGGATTACTGTCCTTGTCGCTGTCATTTATTTTCCCGGGAACATGCGGCATCAACTCAGTTCCAAGGGGTTAGAGTTGATTGTAGTTAGCCTACAGGATAATAACCTGGGAGTGTTTTAATGTGAATGTTGAGCTCTCAGCTGTTATTCGTGGGGCATATCCTGACACCAGTCGAACCCGATGCCTAGGTGTTCGCTTCAGCCCCCTCCGTCCCCACTCTCAGGACTCCGCTTTACAGATGACCTTCTATTTAACCGGTACCGAGTCTCTAATTCCCGACCCCCATGGTGCAGCAGGAATTAGCCTAAGGACACTCCATTCTAATTTTCTGTCGCTGTCAATGCTAACCAGAGCTCACAGGGCAGGGGGTGGGGGTGGGGAGGATGGTTCCACCATGGGTGTTTCCGTTAGAGCCACGTTTATTTCTGGAATAGTTGTGGGAGGGAGAGATGTGCTCCAAAGAGAAGAGGACTCAGTGTGGTTCAGGTACGATCGACCATCTGGACAACGCCGTTCGGATACTTTAAAATGTCAGGGAGAGAGCTGGGCGGGGTACTTGCCACACATTGAGCTAAAAATCCCTTGGATTCTGCGAGAGGAGAGAGAATGAAAACCGGAAACAAAAGATGGGTTGTGAAACCTAGTACCGAAGTAAGATGTTCGAATACATTTTCTCCTTTAAAAAAAAATTCTGGGGAGCCTGAATGTTTTGCTAACCCAATTGTTTTTTAGCCAGCTCTTATAGAAAATAGAGGCGCTGGAAAACTAGCAACTTCAGAAAATATTAATTTCTTTTTGCATGAGTTAAAATGAACTAACATTAACATATTCCGTGATGCAATAGGCAGTGAGAGACTTTTGAAGAGATATGAAGACAAAAAGTAAATATTATGTATTTAAAATCAGTCTCATAGGATTTTATAAAAATGTTGGTTTATGTCCAGGATCTAAGGGAGGGGGTGGGTATGGGTTTTTTTTTGTAGCTGAAGAAGGAATGAAAAACAATCTGCTCTATTTCCTTAAAAATAGAAGACTTCTTGTTTTATGCAGCATGGTAAATGCTTTTCTGTTTTTTACCTGCTGGCAGGAAATGGAGGAAATTTTTCTAGCAAGCTACGCTGTTTTCCTCTCTTTGGGGGCATGGTGATACTGGTTCTGTAGCAAAACAGTATTTGCTTATCAGACATTACTTCAAAATCCTGAATAAGCAGCTCCTTCCACATTTTTTTTGTTGCACATGTTAAACATTTCATTGCAATTTGAGCTTCAATTGTGTGTGTGTGTGTGTGTGCGTGTGTATGTGTGTGTATGCGCATGCGTGCTTGTGTGTGTTGATAGAAAAGATTGAAAGGGGAAGCATAAGAATTCTTAAAGGTTTTTGTTTTAAAAAATTAATCCCTACAATTATGTGTTGGAATCTCTATAGAAGGCGATTCCAATTTATTACAGGCAGCCAAACTAGATCCCATCAATCTTGCGCAGCGAGGGTGGAGAGGTGGTATTGAAGAAGACATGAAATTTGGTGTTGGAGCAGATGAGATTTAATTTTCAGAAAACATTTCACTCATAAAACGGATAGCACCCCAGTGTCAGCCCTGACCTCCATGATGTCAATGTCATCGTGCAAAGCGTAGCTAAGATAAGCCTCAAAGTGAAACAAAGAAACGTCGCTTCTCTGCACCACACCATTCCTTCTCATACAGTATGTACTCTCCCTCTCCATAAATACAGCCTTTCGGGTTTCCGTTAATGGCTTGTTGCTTTACAATTCAGTTTTTGCCGGGGGAGGGAGGAGAAAAATAATTTTGCACGTTCTATGTTTTGTGCAAGTTACAGTAGGCTGCTGCAAGTCACCGTTATTTAGGTCAGTATCCTGCTTAGCTTTTATCGTCCGTGCTGGTCAGCTATGAATCCAAACGAACTCAGCATCAATTTATTTTTCTGTCCCGCTTGTATTCTGCTTCTAAGTTTAAGCAAATTTATTCACATTAGAATACCATTCCAGCTGAGGAGGTATCTGCCGCTCTGCACTGCCGATACATTTAGCAGGATACATTTACACGCTTGTGGTTAGAGGTTATAGCACTGATACAGACAGCTGATCATGCATTCTTCTACAAGCCTGCCGGCACCAATTAGGATTTTAAAAAAAATAATCTAGAAATGATACACCTTTTATAATATTATTTTTGACTTTGCTACAGCTGAACAGTTTTGGCTTTTTGTTGTTGTTATTATTAGCAGCTCTATGGAATTAACAGTCTATAAAAATGCATCCCAAACCAGATACATACTGTATTGAAAGCTTTCTTCAAGAAGATGACATGACAGTATCCGTTCCAGCTGATTTTCCTCCTTAGCAAAAGGATTATTTGGTTCTCGGAAGCAGGAGGACACAGTCATTGTGCTGCAGCTCTGCTTAAATGTACGAAATGCCTTCTACTGTCTGGTTGCAGAATTTGGAGTTGGCTAAACAGTGTTTAGTGATTGGGCTCATCTTGCATCATCAGTTGATGACATTTTTCTTTGTTCCCTCCTACCCAGTTGAACCAGGACTCTGAGGCTGATGTGCAATGTCACTTCCAACATTAATCAGATACTGCATTTAAGGTGAGCCGTTCCTTGCCTCCTCCTTCCCCAGTGCTCGTGTGCTGCATGCATTGCGTAGCTTGCTCCTGCGAGCCTAAGATGGCAGGCAGGATTAGCTGTGCTGGTGCTGTGTGCATGCTGTGTATAGAATTCATTACACGTTGCCAGTATTTCAGATGTGAGTATGTAAATGCTCTGTGTGCCATATCATCTGGTAGTGAAGACTTGTTTTTGCCTCATTACAGCCTTAGATATTTCAGCATCACCTTTCAGTTCCGATTCATTTGCTTCTGGATGTTTGCTTTTCATCACATTCAAAATAGGATTTTTATCTTTTTTTTTTTTTAAACAAAGCCAGAAAAAAAAAAAGCCCTAAAAACAGAAACAACAACAAAACTCTGCTACCAGATGGTGTCTCCCCTTTCTTCTTGCATTTGCTGTCTTTTAAATAATGTATGTTGTATTGTTAATTAATGTGAATATCAAATTAAACACTTGAAACTTCCGTGTTTATTATGCAGGTAGGAGGTAAGGTGGGACCTATTTTTAACTCTTATGCACGCCATGGTGTGCAAACAACGTGGTTCTCAAATTTGTATTTTCAGTGCTGGTATCGGTGGTTTGATTTTCAGCAAATGTGACAGTGGCCTTTGCAGTGGTCAGCTTCGGGCTTTGAACTCTCAGAGGAGGAAGGGGGAAAAATTCAACACACCACCTTCTTGGTTGCAGCCTCGGAGAAGCCCGTGGATGAGAAACGTCCTTTTTTCAATCCTGTTTTCCTGTTGATAAATTCAGTTCTCGTGATCACAGTGCATCCAAGCTGTTCTGCGTATGATTTTTTTGTGTGTGACAATTGCATCTAAAACTTGTGAGCAAGAAGACGGAGAAATCGGTCTCCATCGCTTCACATAAAATGGCTGAGTGTCTTGTCATGCTAGCATTGCACTAAGTGACACATACAGGTAGGTTGAAATTTGCATGTTTTATAGAATTTGGGCCATGCAGCAAGAATATTATGGATTAAAATATGACTTTTTTTAAAAAATTAAATAAGACAGTTGTAATTTTTTTTGGAGGGGGGCATTAAATTGGATAGCCTTTTCTATTCAGATAGTATAGAAATATGTAGCTTTTATAAACTTATGGAATGACCCTGCAATAAGATGATTTCTTTTTTAAAAGCCATATGTATAGTAGGTGTGGCGCCGTTAGACAACAAAAGAATTTTTTGGAAAAGTCTGTGGATCTAGCTCCATGTTAGCTTGAAACTAAAAATAAATGGGTTTCTGGAGATAATTTCGAAGAACGCAAACAAGCTTAATATGAAACATTTAAAATATTTAAATTTTAAGAAGCGGTCTTTAAACGTGTTATATGAAAGATGAAAATAACATACTTAAAAATTAATTTTAGATAATATGCAAAAATAAATACACTTTTTATATATTTAATACCTATTACCAGGGGGAGGAAGAGTTACAATGTTTAAAGGGGAAAATGTTAAATGTAGATGTTCCTGTTAGAAGAAAAAGACCTGCATTGAATGAAACAGTGTCTAGGATGGTTCATTGCAGACCATACAGTTATGGTTCTGCAAGCACCAAATTCTGGCACTATTCAAAATAATCTCATGGGCTCTTTCCTTTGAGGTTAACTTCTCAAATATATTTTAGTTTTTCAAATTAACACTGGGCCAGAAACCTGTTTCCTTGGTAACCAAATCTTATTTTTAAATGCAATAACAGATATGCAAAATATTGTCTTAAAAAAAAAAAAAGAAACAAATGTTTAATGAAAAATGTATAGCCCTTTTTCCTCTGATATAGATTCTGAACTGGTTTTAGACATTTTTAAAATGCGGTCTTCAAGCCTTAAAAACAAGACATCTTTCTGCACATATAGAGAAAGCTTGCACAGTGAGAGCTTCTTCCCCTCCCTCCTTTGTGCTCAGTACTTTCAAAATTAAGGTTTTCTTTGAAATGTGCTCTAGAATGCTGGTCAAGGTTTGTGTACGAAGGTGTAGTTTCATTATCACGAGTTCACCAGCTCCACCGAAACAAAAGGCATCTCAGAAATTCTGAGAATCAGAAAATGCTTATGCTCTTGTTTTCCTCGCTCCCTCCATTGGTAATGCCGGAGCCAAGCCCGCCCCGAAGATAAGTGCACATTGAGCCTCTGTGGAAACGTCCTTGTAGATGTGTTCGGAGAAAGATGCTGTAAAGCCCAGACCTCCCTGGGGTCTGCTCCGACGTGAAGAACCTTGAGACTCACCATTTGTGCAAGTGGTTGCTGTACTCCGGCAGCCTGTCATATTCGAAAGCACTGTCTGTAAACCTAACCAACCTCTTCCGGGCTAAAGGTTTGTTGCTGTTGTTGTTTAGAGGCCAACTTAAATATTTTGCTTAGAGTCTTTGTTTGGCTCAGTTATATGAGATCATGATTCATCTCCCAGTGATTTCGTTCTTTGGGCTGCCATGAAAATATCCTTCCTGCAACACCTCAACACCCCTCCTCCTCCCCCCCACCCCATTTTTTTTTTTTTTTTTTTTTTTGGTTGTTCGGGAGCCATTTTCTTTCCTGCCTGTGACTTAAATGACTAAGTACATTTTTAATATAGCAACAATCAGAAGATCATAAACTGAAGGGAACTGTCAGAAACCTGATTCAGTATTTCCTGCTTATTTTAATACCAGTAGCATTAACAGTTGCAATAGGAGTAAGCTAATTGTCATTCGCTCTTGAGCAAATAGGGAGCCAGGCATTTGTAATTTAATGTACTATTGCTACTCAGCAAGATACAACTCCAATGCCTTCTGTTTTGATAGGCTGGTACAGATTAATAATTTTCAATCTTAATCGCAAGATTAGATGGATGCAATGGAATTGTTTTACCATAAAAATGAATGCCTGCTAGATTCAACAGTGTATCTCTTCTTTATAAAATGTCAGTTGTTTTGTTTATAACTCCAGCATGATTGCATCTTCTTGGGGACTTTCATCCCTAATAATTTTTTGAGGCATTATTCATTTACGTTGCTCTTGGTTTTTGCCTAGAAGAATTTTAAACACAATTCAAGGAGCTTGAAGTATATTGTACTATTGTCATTCTAATAAATAGAGCAGTGAATGGAAGACTAATTATTATTTATTACATTGTGTGTTTCGCCTTAATGTCTTGCCTCCATATTTCGCAGAAATCTTTACAAGGCACAATACTTTTCTAAACTTACCCATTTACAATTATTATTGAATTTGCTAGATTAATAAAAAACACTGCCTGTCAGTTATTAAGGGTGGCACTTAGTCGTTCTCATTGTTCGGAAGGCCATGCTTAACTAATTTACCCTTTTTGGCTAAAGGGTTTATGCCGGGCAGGCCAGAGCAGGTGCGACATGAAGAATGTGCAAACAATTGCTTTGTTCTCACCAAAATGAAATGAGAAAATCTGTGCTTTTCTGCCTGAATGATTTATAGTATAAAATTCTCAACTCTTTTTCTCTTTGGAAAATAGGAAGTGTTTTCCCAAACCTTAACTTGGGCTTTTTTTTTTTTTTTCTTTTTCTTTTTTCTTTTTAAACTGTCTCTAGTAATGATCTGTTTAGTCATGTAAATGAGAAATATTACATTTAGTCATCCAAAATATATTCATCCAGGTTGATATTTATTGTGTTATGTCTTCTAATGAAAAGATTTCATCTCACCCAGCCAGCATGACTCAGTGGTTGAGAGTCATCCTATGAACCAGGAGGTCACAGTTCAATTCCTGGTCAGGGCACCTGCCCGGGTTTTGGGCACAATCTCCAGTGTGGGGCGTGCAGGGGGCAGCCGATCAATGATTCCCTCTCATCATTGATGTTTCTATCTCTCCTTCCTCTCTGAAATCAATAAAAATATGTTTTTCAAAAAAAGAGATTTCACCTCTTCCTACTAGAATGATGTTGATCTACCTTAACCATTACTGTGGCTTCCTCATAGAGAGCTGGTAGCCAGGCCATGTTTTAGAGCTGGCTGATACAGGGAAAAGAATCTGGACAAAGATCCAGCATCTTTCTCTTTACTACTAAATCATGCTAAGCCTTTGAGTTCCTGGTTGACACACTTATTGAGCACCTGCTGTATATGCCAGGCATATTTTAGAGGCTGGAAATACAGTAATGAAGAAGAGGTACCAGGGCCTGCCTCTCAACGACCTGCCTCTAGTGTGATAGAGGAAAATAAATATGTAAACAATTAATTAAAGAAGACAAGTACAAAGACAATAAGTAAAATTAAATTTTAAAAAGCAATGTGATCCCCAGCAGATATGACTCTGTGGTTAAGCTCCAAGATGTCACTAGTTCGATTCCCGGTCAGGGCACTAGCCCGGGTTTTGGGCTCAATCCCCAATAGGCGGCATGCTAGAGGCAGCTGATTGAGATCTCTCTCTCTCTCTCTCTCATCGATGTTTTGATCTCTCTATTCCTCTCGCCTCCTCTCTCTGAAAAAAATAAATAAGAAACATTTAAAAAATAAAAAGCAATGTGACATGTTGGGAGGAAGAGACACTTTAGAATGGTGAGCCAGGGAAAGCCTTCTTAAAGAGAAGGCATTTAAGTGGAGACCTACATGGTAAGATGGATCCAGCCAGGAGAGAGCATCAGCAGCCAGAGGGGTGCTCATGCACAAATTGCAAACTTCCCTTTCCTGGTGTAACCACCACCATATCAGAGCCAGGTTTGATGACTTCGTGTTTTGAGCCTTATTCAGGTAAGCCTCCTCCGCAGTGAGAAGGTGGGTCAGGCCCTCCTCGCTGGTTTTAGTAAATTCCCAGGACATGGTGCCTGTGGGGTCATTGCCTGTACTCCAGTCCCACCTGGAAACACCTAGGAAGGTGCCCTGAAATTCTGCACATTGCAACCCCAGGTGGCGATGAAATTTTGGTGCAGACTCAGTGCTAACTCAAGAAATCCACCGAAGAAAGGCTTCTCAGAGCAAGATAACTATCTGAGAAGCTTTTTGTTTTATTTTTCATACGAATCCCA